TTCGTGAAAAGCATTCACGACCTTATCTGTCAAGCCGCGTACGCGGACAGCGCGGCCTCCTCGGCAAGTTGTTCCCTCATCGAAGACGACAATGAATAAAAGGTACGATCAAAATCTTAATGCCTGAAGAAAGCGCAAGTTTAAAATAATTCTAAGGGTGTCAGTTGATTTTATTTCTACTATATTCAAATTTCAACACTCGTCGCGGGCAGCATGAAGGGAAGCACTGCACTCTTGGCGCAAACCAGTGCCCAGTCAACGGTCCTACACTCAAACACGCATCACCACCCGACCTGTTTGAAAAATAAATAATTTCCAGTACTTTTGGTAGAAAAGGCGAATTTTCTACTGAGCGTGATATTTTGTGTACCAAAAGTCCTGTAGCCGAGATCGGTAGTTCATAACTTCAGGAAGACGAAGAGCGACGGATGCATTATTTCCCGCGGAAGTACTGTTTTGACTTTGAATTCCACATAAAATTGTATATGCACAAATTGTGGCACGATACCGAACTTGATTGATTACTTTTCTTTTAAAGAGAACATAACCAGGCATAATCTACAGATATTACAGAATTCATTTTAATTGGCGTACAGCGCGAAAGACAAGTATGGACATAAAGAACACAATAGAGCTCTGCATTTCTACTGCATTTCTTTCCGTACTTGTGGACAGTAAGTCCGCATGACTATATTCAAAAACTGCCAAATCGTTTAAGCCTACCCCTTTTTATAGTTTTTTTTCGTAAATGAATTGTGGCGAATCCCGGCTGGGTTCGGGTAAAGATCTCGCACGTGTTCAAGGACACAATTCGGCATGATTTCCAGCTTGGTGACGACGTTGAGCTGACCGCTGTTCCGCTTCTTTTCTAAGTAGGCGGGGAACGCCAGACGCCTAAATTTGCCAAGCAGCCCCAAAACTGGCGGTAGCACACCTTCCGAACTCCTGGGTTTTTTTTTGGAGATGGCCTTCGCCCACCCTGACAAAGCCCCAAACAATTATGTAAGGGCTGCAGAGGCTATCTGGGCATTCCATTTCTTCATCAGCGAGCAAATGCGAACAGAAGAGAATGAAAACTTCGTAATACCTGCTGTCTTTTAATAAATGGCATAATATGCTACTATTGCTAGCTGCACTATTTTACGCGAAGAAAATTGTGATTTTGCGGTTCAATCTCCGTGTTTCCCGTTCTCTTTGCTGATACGCAAAATATTTGTCGGGTGTCAAGTTTTCAGTTACATTTGTTGACAGAAACTAAATGCACGTTTGGCCACGAAGAAATTTTTTTCAAAGGCTGAAGATAGATGAAATATACAATAAATTGTTTCAGTTTTTATGGAAGTTTGTTTTTACTCTTCTTAGTAGCTTCAACGAGGCGGCCGTCACTCTAAAAAACACCTGTAGTACGAACCTATATATTATGCCCCAGAAATGGTCAGACTGTGTCCCTCTGACTGCAATATCTTTGACTTGTAATTACTCATGATTATTAGTTTGTACAAAAAACAAAAAAACAAGAAAACACAATAATGATACAATCACTCTTCAGTGTGCCGTTGTTAGAACGACAAATTTTCAATTCTCTGGGTAGAGCTCAAAGTTCGGATAAAAATACCCATCTTTTTTCTTTCTGCTGTGATGTTCAAGTTCCGTTCACTCGAAATAAATATGCGGTGTTGTAGCGTGTGTGGCCGCATGCGGAAGTATCTGAATGTAAAAGAACTTGTTGTTGGGCAAGTCGGTGTTGACTATCTGAGTGTTTTTTAGAACTGCAGAAAAAGAGCAAAACAAAACAAACAAAAAAAAAAAAGAAGAAAAGCGAGCCAGCCCGAACCCTTCTGAGCTCATATCCAGCCTGCCAAACTAATCCCTGGTGTTTGGGATTGAAGCAGAGAACCTTGAAGGGTTACGGAGATTTTGTCGGGAGGCCGGTAAGCCCATTAGCACTCGTGCGAGAAGGCCGAAAAAAGCGAGGAGGAAAATGGAGGAGGAAAGGGGAGGAGGAAAAAAATAAAAGAGGGGGAATCTTCTGCCACGCTGAAGAAAATTTTTAGTGCCCGCCTTTAAAGGCCGCCGTACAGTTCGCGCTTTCCACTTTTTCTGCGTTTCCTCCTCCCCTGCCCTTCTTTCCTTCCTTCACCGCCCCCCCCCCCCCCCCCCCCCCCCCCCTGTTTACCGCCCTTCCCCGAGGGAACAACACGGAGAATGGATTAGGAGACGCCTCCGTTAATCCGGCCTAACCCGCCGAAGAGGGGGCCTGCTGCTTGACCAAAAATTATTTCGCTGCTCGAAAAAAAAAAAAAAAAAAAGAAAAACGCCGCGGGCAGCGACCGAATGCGCTTTGCCGGATGCGCAACGCTCCGTCCGCCTTGAACAAGCTTGTATGCACTGGACTAACATTTTTCGCAGGACGGCAGGTTTAGTGTAGGTCCTATCATATGGTCCTGCAAGACTTCCCTGTCCGCCACAAGCTAGCCAATAATTCAAGAACATAACGACGGCAGCGTATTCAAACAGTGTAAAATAAAATGTATATAATATTTATAAGAACACCGTTGTCTTCACTGCTTGACTTTCAAATTTTTAGCGTTGCCAATAATCGTAATCAAACTATTTTTATGATTGAAGACCCCTCGTCGTGCATCGACCCCAAGATTACACTTACGTGAAACATGATTCTGCGCGGAAGCCGCTCGAGTCACCGTAAACTTTTTTTTTTTTTTTTTTCAACGTGGATTTTTTTTTTTTTTTTTTTTTTTTTAATTTAGCTGAAATACCACTGGCAGAACACGAATCGCATACTTGGAAGGTATATACCGTCTGAAAACTCATATAGCTGGTTGAGTGAATGCAATACTATCGCATTCGTTGAAGCTTGATTTGTTGATTCGAACTTCTACAAATCACACGCACCCATTCTCCCTATTCCTGTTTACCCAGTCATAGTCGTACCCTCACGATGCAATACGTGTACAAGTAACTGCAGTCTATGCATTGTTGACGTTGCACAGCCGTGATCGCACGTCGAATTCCAGTACACCGATTGATTTCTGTCTCACCGCCGTGACGCCACACGAGAAAAGTGATTTCGTTCTGTCTGTGAAATTAGGAACACAGAAATCAAGCTATAATCCCGGTGATAAAACAAAGCGAAATGGATCTCTGTAGCCAATACCCAACCGTTTGCGAGGTGACTAGGCGAAAGCATATATTACCTCCGTACCTTTACCCTCTGCACACCGCCAGAGAGAGTCATACAAACTCCTTAGAGCTATTGCCAACACGATTGCGTTTGCAAGCCGGTAGTTTGACTCGGCTGGGATTCGTCCCTTTGATAGCTCTCTATGAAACCAGAAAGGTAGATACTTTTCTACATAGGGTGGGTTTGCCCGGGGCCTCCAGTTATTTACGGCCAAAATCACACTGGAGGCGCTTCAGCAATGTTCACTTTGGCCGACACACGTGCACTGTAAAAATGCCAGTCGTCTACTCTTTCCGAAAAGATACTTGACGAGCCAATCTTAGAGACCGACGGATAACGAGGCCGAAATTATGCTTATACCTCAAAAAAATTATAACACAAATTTGGCCTCGTCATTCCCAAACTGGTTGCCGGACGAAATTATCTATGCGTATGCAAGCCAGGGTTGGTAATAGTAACATAAGATACGTACGGCAGAATTCCCTTCCATAAATAAAATTATTTGGCTGACAAGAGTTTTGCAAAAGGGAGCGTAAACCGAAAAAAAGGGGGAAAAAAAGACAGAAGAATAGGAGAAATAAGAAAAAAAATCTCTGGTGACGTGGCCAAAAAAATTTCTGTTCCTGTGATTTTTATTGTCACGTGACCCAACAAAAAAAAAATAAGCGAAATAAAAAAAGAACACGAGAAAAAAACCATCCCCTGCCCGGTTTCGAAGCTAGGCCCTCTTGATCGTGAAACTAGCGCGCTATTCGTTGCGCCTAGTTGCGCCAACATAACCTTTTTTTTTCTTTCTTTATTGTAAGTTGCGCCAACATAACTCTGCCTGTAATGCTCACGCATTTTCACATCATAGGAGAAAGCTTAGGTGCCTTCGTAGTTTTTCATGCATGTGTTATTTTTATTTGTGTCAAGAGTTCACGTTCCAGAATGCTTTTAGAGTTTTGGAGCAAAACGAGTTTCTTCATCTGAGTCACCTTCTAGAGCCGGTAGACCGCACTGGGTCCTCCGGCTAATCAAGCAGCTATTTTCAAATTCTCTGACGTGCCCGTCCTCGCATCCGAGGTCGCCGTTTGACAAGCTTATCTTCCACCTGGTAGCCGGAACCCCCAGCAAAGCGCACATGAAGGCTCCCACCCACGGCAGCTTTGTTCCGTCCCCACTCCCTCTCGAGAGGATGGCTCGCCCCGAGGCTAATCCCATTCTCTAGACGCCCTTTCCACCTAACGATGGCCCTTTCCCTCCCCGTCTCCAGCTTCGGGAGAGAAGGTTCTTCCCTGCAGAACGTCCCGTTTGTACAGCGGCCTTTTCACATGCAGCGATTTTGGCCCATAGAGCGGGGCGATTTCTGCCGTCGCGGCGCTCGTGCCACTCAACCGCTGGTGCTGGCCAGAGCGCCGCGACGGCAGAAATCGCGTCGCTCTAGGGCCAAAACCGCTGCATGTGAAACACGCTTTACAAAAGGGAGTGAACAAGACGTTGGAGTACCTGATTCTTCGAACGGACGAAGTCTTCACAGCGGAGGCGATGTTGCTCTCCAGGAAAAAAGCGCGCCCCTTTCCACAGTTTTTTGCATTTTATTTTCTAAATTCGACTCACCCTCGCTCACCCTCACTCTCTAATTTACCCCTCTCCCTCCTCCTCCTCCTTCCGCGCCACGCCGCCGCCGATCTGTTGACCCCCTCGCCGTCCACACGCCGCCGCCGGAGGTACACAAACGGCTCTGGAGGTACAAACACCGGCGCGCCGCCGCTGCCGCTTTTTTACCGGCGCACACAGGTCTAGGTGAGCCTGAAGAGATTCGAGTTACTCCGGCGGGTCGGACAGGTCGTGTCACGTGACAACACAAATAGGAAAACGCGGGTTGTGGGTAGGTTTCCGAACGCGAAGGTACAAAATCTGTACCCTGGAGTAAGATCAAATAAATTTTGGAACACAGCCATTATTCGACGCGCGTCCGGCGCGTCATCGTCGCCGTCGTCGACGCTGCCGTCGCCGCCCGCTACACAGGCAGAGGCCCGCTGAGTGAGTTGTCCTTGTGCCGTGCACTTGTGCGCGTCAGTCCCTTGGCACACGAGGTTGTTTTCCGCCTGTGACGTTTGGACAATCGCACCGTTCCTTTCTCCTGCGTGTTAGGTGCCCGCCACTGTTGCCTCGTCCCACGAAACATGCCTGCAAGGATAACCAAGGTGAGCCCATTTCGCGATCTGTTATGGGTACTTCCATTTGCACCTTCTCCGAGACGCACAAACCTCACAAGAGAAAAGCGACACCGGTTACACAACTATGCGGAAATCTCTTCGGCTATCCTTACGCCTGTCGCTTCGGACATCACATGCGATCTCACTTTTTTTATCACGGACGGACGCACTGATTGAATGAAAGCAGAGTTTTGCCAGCCGGCTCGATTAATTTCTCCATTCATATACTGTTGCGCTGTTGCCATGGTCCAATGGCTCGGTTAGACAAGATGACCCCCCCCCCCCCCCCCCCCCCCCCCCCCCCCCCCCCCCCCCCCCCCCCCCCTTTCCATACACAAACACGCACCTTTTTCTACGAAGTTAGAGATCGTGTTTAGGAGTCTGGTCATTAAAAATGCACGCCTTATCATCAGATTAGTTCTTTTTTTTTTCTTTTTCTTTCTTTTCATTGGCTAGTTGTTATTTTTTGAAGGGCCGTTTCCTTGAAACCGGAGGCATTAAGTGCACCTTCGACTACGAAGTGTACAGGCGGCGACCTCAAAGTACATGTGTTTTTTTCCCCGATCTGGCGAACAAATATGTTCGTTAAACTCCGGCAGCGCGTCCTCAACTCGAAAGTGGAGCGTGCCGTACGTTACGCCGATACATGCGCGGTGCTCGCGTTGATAAGTGAGGGCAGACAGGGTTTTGGCCCCGTCCACTTTGCTTCACGTACTCGCGGTGCTAAAGGTCGGTCGATAAAGGCGTGCTTTCATGGGTGAGAGTGACGGACACCGACCCTGATAAGATGATAAGAGCTTACCTTGGAAAATTTTTCGGGATAATTACGCACGGCGCCCCTAGAATCCTAGTAGAGACTCTTACTGGCGGAATTTGTCAAGGAAAAACAATCTGCGATCATCGACATATTTCATTTTTCCCCTGTCGCAGAAGTCCCTCTGTCCTATGGGTACAGAATTTTCTGGATGACGAGGCCGCTAGAGAGAAGACCATACCTCGGCGTGGGTTGTCTTGTTCGTAAATGGTGGCGGTACATTTTACTCAGTCTTCGTGCCGTGCACGGCTGTAACGCCTCCAGCAATGTCGCATGTACTGTTATACCCTCAGAGTGACGCTGGAATCGTTGAAGTACTTTACGCCATCAAAGGGTGCTGAATCATATCCGCCGGTTATTCCTGTAAGCCTGAGTAGCTGGAGTTAAAAGATTGGGTAATGGTACGAAGGAGTTGTCACACTATAGTCCCTGACGGTATGATGGTGGCAGGGAGGTCACTCAGTTGTGCCACCCCCATTCCTACCTTCGGTAATGCGCCTGCGCCTCGTGAACTTCAAGCGTGCGTCTGTAGCCGAAGCACAAAGGAGTGAAATGAGTGTTTACTGGAGGCCGGGTCTCCTAAAGAGACACCTCATCATTTTCATCCCGTTATAGACCACATTCTACCGTGTTTACTTGCACATCAAACACACATTTTTTTTTATTCTGAAGAATCAATGCAAATTTGGGTTCATTGCATGGGGCACTATTTCAAGCGAAATATATTGGATTGCTAAAATGGGTTCACAAATTGGTGAAGGAATGCAGCACTGAAATAACGAAAGGACCAAGAGCTCGTTAACAAATAACTTAACAACCGAAGTGTTTGCTTCTGAAAGAGACTCAACTTTACGGTAAAAAGGCAAGTATGCTCTCGGCCTCGATTCATACATTGAGTTTATTATTTTTCTGCTTTCCCTTTACCCTGAATTGGAAAGCTCGTCGATGTCACTGGCCGCATCTTCATTAATTTCAACCTCCTCAACACGTATGCCCTAAGCCTACTGATTGCCCATTCAATTTGCCGAGCACGGTTGCTTTCCAGAAGCATACAAAAGAAGGTGATTCTGGATGAAGTGCAGTCTTTCTTCGGGGCAGTGAAACCATCACAAGGACACGCACAACGAGTGTCTAAGATCCTTCGTTCCGAGAAATGGCGTCAAGTACGCCTCCTGATCGACTTTCTTCGAGTCCGGTGTTCCACCCACAACGAGTTCTCCAATCATATAACCATGAACAAAAACACAACAGGATGCCTCTGGATTAAGGAGTATCTCCCAATTTGGAGTCATCATCTGGAACTACGACGACAAGGTATGAGAACTGTGAAAAGAACTCCGCTGCAGGTAATAGGAAATGTTCCTATATCAGACAGAGCAAAACAGATGCTTGAAAAAGGACCCAAATATGCCATATCACCTAAGCTTGAGGCGTTAGACAAGTTAACCCTCATACGCCAAATAGCCGCAAAAGCCCCACAAGACCGAGGACCACAAATCATTGATGAGGGAATCCAAGTCTTTGCTTGCCTAAACCACCATGCCCAGGCGAAAGTGAGCTTTGGACCGATCATACAAGAGCTGCGGAGCCAACGATTAAAACTACGTCTCAGACAAGCACGGAGGATTCGTGGTTCTAGCATCCGATACATATGGAGAAAAAGTTCACCAAGCAATGACCAGGAATTTCATCCCTGTTGACAAAAAACAATCCAAAGCAGCAAAACTAGCCGTCCTAAAATTGCTAGACGAAGCTCAACAACCAAGTTTTAGTACCAAAATCGAAGCCGCAAAAAATGACCTACTCTCAGTGTTTTTTTTTTTTTCGGCCAAAACTCATAAAGAAGGAGTTCCCTTCCGGGCAATCGTTTTAGAAAGAACCACATGGCAGGCATGCGTGTCGAAGTTTTTAGCGCAACAAATCTCCAACGTACAGATTGAGGACCCTTTCCGAATACCAAACTCGGAACATGTCATATCCTTCCTTCAAGATCAAGGGCACCTCATCGCTTCTGGTTTTCTATTGATGTGGAGGACATGTACTACTCCATCTTGCACGCAAGCCTCATGCATGTCCTCCAAACAATTATCGAAGACAAAGGGCTCACCAAATCTCAAAATGCCGCAGGAATGAGCTTAAGCACCTTTTTGGAAATCTATTCTACCTGTCAGCGACGGTTGTGGCCCAACAAGATCACCAGTATGTTCAAAAGAGTGGGATTTGCATTGGCTCTCAAGTAGCCCCGCATCTATGCGAAATCTTTCTTGCGAGGTGTGGAATAGCCATCCAGGAAGCCATACAAGATGCACGCATAGGGGTTATTTTTAGGTATGTAGATATTTTCTTATTTTGTGCACCACAGAAGTCGACGAACAAGCCGATGGATGCCTTAAAACCACCTTGACACAATTCGAAAAAAGCTGCATGGGCCTCACTTTCACCCACGAAATTCCAGTGAATAAATCAATTCGGTTTCTTGATTTGGCATTGAAATTCCAAGCAGGGCATGTCTGTTGGCAATACCAAGCACGATCAGGAAAAGGGTTTCTTCCTTATGATTCTGAACACTCAAAAAATGTTAAGCAAGGAGTGGCCATCGCAGCCCTCTCCGCAAGCCTAAAAAAGACCTGCCCCCATCAAGTCCAACAAAGCTTTGATGCACAAATTTCACGACTTCACAATGCCAGATATCCAAAAACCTTATTGGCCTCCATATGTGAAAAAATATGCCGCAGTGTCAAGAGGAACAATGCCCAAAGTGAAGACCAAGCGAGAAAAACAAAGAAGTCCTTCACAGTAATCCCGTACATTCATGGTGTCACCTACAAATTGAAAAAAAATAGCAAACCGGCAAAATGGTCAAGTTGTGTGCTCGGCCCCCAATAAGGCTTATTCCCTATGCCGCATGATTAATCAGACACAAACGGACATGAAAGACAGGTGTGACACCCGACACAAGACAAAATACTTTCCGTGCCAAAAAGGAGTCGTTTATAGCATACCGTTAACATGTGGACAATGTTATATTGGACAGACGGGGAGACGCATAAATGACCGTCCACGTGAACATGCGGCCAACGTTAAAAATCTCTCGGGACCAGGGCACCTCGCTGCCCATTGTGGAACTTGCAAGTGCAAACCAAAGCTTGAGCAAGCCAGCATCATAGGGCACCATAAAGACCAGCTTGCAAGGGATATGTTGGAGGCCTTGGCTATAAGCAACAAAAAAGAAAACTGCGTGAGCTCCGCTTCAATAACCCTACAGCCGCAAAAAAAGCTCTTTTTGAAGGGCGCCCTCTCTGCTAAGTAAAAATAGAAATAGAAGAAAAAAAAAAAATATATACGCATCAGATTTAGTAGAAGAGGAGGACAATCTATTAAAAGAGTTGGTAGTCCAGCGAATGGTTGTCTTTTCTGTGTCTCCTTCCTTAAATGTTCAGCTGGTTCCACCCATAACGCATCTTCATCCTCGTGGTTCTGAAGCGTGTGGTCCCTGACCGCCCTTGTGCTCCACCGTTATACCTCTTGGCATGTCGAAGTTGATGGGGTTTTTATCCACATTTATAACCTGGGAGAGGACGAAGTTCTTGCCTTTGCGCATCCTCATGACCAGCCACGTCAATTGTCAACTCCTCTACGCACACAGCAATAGCAATTCAAATTATTAAGGTTTAATTAGTTTTGCGTAACTAACTTTTCAATTGGAAAAAATAAATGTATGTAGTTCCAGTTACAAACTTGATGGGCATCTTTGGAAACGACTTGGTATGTATATCCAGGGTTGTAAAAGTTACTTCAAAAATGTACCTAAGATACAGTTACAGTTACTTATACGAAAAGGTACCTAGGTACGTACATAGGTATTTGCTTAAAAATGTACCTAGGTACAGGTACAGATACTTAAAAGATTATTTATTTATTTTCCCCAAATTTGTCAGAATACAATGGAAGTAAAGCTTTTTATACTAAGAATACACACAAAAACAAGTTCGATAAATGTGCTTTATTGGTGTCAATGCGTTGTCCACATCGGTGTTGAGTTCTCATGTGCCTTATCCCTACGGTCCAATTGGTTCACCAAGGCCACAGCTTTCACTGTTTACCATGTCACGCTGGAACAGTTGAAACTCGCTCGTTGACGTTCCTGCCCTCAGAGCCGGTGCTGACATCGACG